ATCTCTCCACTCAAGTCCCTCATGAGATCTTTAGCCCCAAAAAGAGCTCATAATTGCCTGACTTGATTACTACTTCATTTCCAATGAACACTTAACATCTATTAACTATCATGGATTTGTTGAATGTTGAATAAAAACTCTACGAAGATCAAGATAGAATTATGGAAAACTATCCTTCAGCTCAATAAACCATAACTGAATGTAGTTTTAGTGACACTATCTTGCTTCCTTGAACACAACAATAGACCAGAAATACCTTGAAGGGCTGGTTTGGGAGGCATCTATTAAAGAGCTTACTCTGAAAGGCATCTTCCATCTTACAGATATTAAGCTAACTGGACTGTGCTTAATGTAAACCCACTAAATTGTAAACTCTGAATACTGTCATCCTGTGTCACAACAGTCCCTCAGCACTCACCACTGCTTGAAAAATATTAACAGAAACACAGAACACAACATTTTCCAATTATGTGTTGACTATTTGCTTAAAAATGAAAGGAGAAGAATAGAATGCAAAAATAAGTCTTACCAAAATTTAAAGAGGCTCTGACCATGTATCCTGCACACCTTCTTTAAGCCTCAGCACGCATGTGCACATGCACACACACACTGAGTGTGGATTGTTGAATTGATTATTAATCTGACAAGACTGCCACTATGGAACTTCCTCTCCATGCCAGCATTTAAAAAGTTCTACCTCACAGTCTAATTAAGAAATTCTCCAATCTACTAAAATCTGCACCCATCCTTAAAGGTCATAGACTTGTTTGTCTAGGAAAATGCCATCCAAATAGGAAGGCATCAGTGATACATTCTTCTACTTTGTGAAACATATTTAAGACTCAGAACTCTGATTCTGGAGAATTTAATTGTGGGATTGAGACTAGAAAGTCCTGAGAAAGACAGGATGTCAGAAAAGCAACCCTTGTAAGGTCTCAAGGCCAGCACCCTCAGCATCTCTGAACAACAGTGAATATTTCTGATGTTGATGACTCATTCAACTGCAGGAGCTGGAAGCATATGCCTCTTGACTTTCAGAAGCCTCCTTCAGAGTTTGCTGAATTTTTGCCAACTATGATGATACAGAGAATCTCATATACAGTTTTTGAGTTAATTCTATGGGAAAAAATGATTGGTTTACCTTATCTTAAGGATTTAAGATTACTCTATTCCAAGAAATCCTAGGAAAAAAACCAAACTCTTGCTAGGTGTGGTGATACATACCTGTAATCTCAAGACTAAAGAGGCTGAGATATGAGGATCAAGTTTGAGGTCAACTTACATACTGAGACCATGTCTCAAAAAAAAAGAAGGAGAAAGAGAGAGAGAGAGAGAGAGAGA